CCCATTTATCCAACATTAACTACCGAAGAATGCACAAGGACGCTGCCATGTTGCATGTTGCTTGCCACAAATAACTACTAGCGTTAATAACCGGTTGTACATTTCCGGCGTTCGAGCGATCGACCCACGAACAACAAATCGAGCTGTTCGTGTACAAACGAGAACAAGCCGCCCGAACTCAGCCACTGTGTTTAATTTACTGGATGTACTGTACATGCCATTCCGATATGTAAGATTCTGAATGATAGTTGGGCGTTTGTAACATTCAGGACCCTGTTCCAATAATTGAACAGAAACTTACCTTCAATCTGTAAACCTTATCTTACTAGATTACGATGTCTCCAAGCTGATAACTGTAGGATTCATTTTGTGGAAAGAGGTTACGGTTTTGATTTATGAGGGGAATTCTGGGGTAAAACAACCACGGCTACTTCAAGGTCCGTGTCAATGTCGGAAAATCAGATAAAAAGGCGCATTTTCATCTAATTTATCGATCTAAATTCACAAGAAATGGCGTCAGCATCATGAAGAGAACATTGTCCAGATTGTACTCTTTTGCAGGTCGACTTCCTTTGTACAATGATAAAACGACGGGAGGGTCTCTAAGTTTACAAACGCNTTGGAAGTTCTTTTGGAGGTGAACTTCCTATACTTTGGAGAAGATTTGACCAGCGCGTACCACGTACGTACTTTTACTGTGATTTGGCGGTAGCTGGAGTGTCAAGTTTCGCTACTCCCGTTCCTGTAATGCTGCACTGTTGTTGGAGTCGTCTTCATGTAGCTGTTTTCGTGTAGTGCCGGACCCACCGTTCGCTGGATGCACCACCATGATACACGCGTTTCCCGCTGAGTGACGCTGTTCTGTGGTTGTCGTCTTTCTTGTTTGTCGCGGTGTAAACGTCGAACTTTCCGCTTAATCATTTTTACCGCCTTTTCTTTCGGACCACTCACCGGATTGATCTCGATCAACGAACATTCTTCGGACAATCTCATGAACATCGATTTTTTATGGAGTCATATGGTGTCACCTCCCCGCTTTTCAAATCTGCATAGCCGGGCAAGTCATTCCCCACCTTTCCCCCAGCCCCGATTTCCTCTCCCCCAATTCCCAGCACATTTCACGGCACTGGCGTTTTCATTTTATAGCATTAGTTACTGACTTAGATTTGAAATGTTTCCAGTCAGGCAAAAACAGTTTTTCGATATGTTAATATATGCAGTAACCGTTTGGGGCAGGACACAAAGAGAAATACCAATAAAATGGTGTTCAATCAGCTTTTACTGTTTATTTAACAACAAATTCGTTTGGCGAAACAATTCAATCAACTTACAATAACATTTTCATAAAAAAGGATATGATCCAAGGATTGCTCAAGGAACACACAACAATAGCCTAAGATTGCGCAAAGAATATGACCAGTCGGCAAAGCAAAACAATCTATTTTCAGTCTTTGGATATTGAAGTCTAGTCTCTGGACCTCCAGTTCTCTACCGCTGACTGAGCTGAAAATTCCCAGGTCAGTCAACTAAGTTGTCCGACACCGTTGAAGGCAGACGCAGTCTCCCGTCTCCTTCAACAGGTTCACTCCACTCCAGTATAGTCTTAGGCTCTACCTCGTCTATTGCAATTGGGTTTGCTACCAGGAGAAGCCAGGAGGTTGTTACCAGACATCAATCCGGTGAACAGTTAATTGTTCATGTGTCATATGCAGCAAGGTATGAGACAGAGAGAACCCCCGCCCCTGCTTTGTGTTGGTCATTGTCTCGCAGGAATCTGGGAAATTCCTTTCAGACATCTTGGGGGATGTTTTAAGCAACAATAGTCTGGAATATGTATAGGGATTGAACATGTTGAGGGGGGTACCCCTCGGTCTCATTTCTTAATTGGTATATCATGTGTCCTGCTCAATGAGATTCCAAGATGTTCCTACATGTGTACATATATCCGATAATCTGAGATCTGAGAGCCAACAGTATGCTGAATAGCACAAATGGATTATGAAAACACCCGATCAATCGATGATTTGAACAAAAGTGAACCTCACGACACGATCTCTCTGGACAACTTGAAAAAAGCTTTCAGCGCGATAACCAACCCTGGGATGCGTTCCCAATTTAAACTCACACGGTGGCTGGAGCGGACTATTCCGTTGAGTCCGTTTCATTTTTCAGGTTTGCAGAGCCCGGAGTCCGTCCTGAAGGTACATTAATGCTTCAGTGGTTGTCCCTTAGCCTCTACGGATCTTACAAACCACCAAAGTACATCACAGTACCTGGGGCCGTTTTCCCTGGCTACCCGGATTTGAAGGGGGGGCCCTCGCCACGCGCCAGCCAAGCCATACCACCACCACAACACCCCCCGAACAAAAATAACACTTTGGAGACAGCCGACAGAGGCCTCTGACAAGTTCAAGACAGCTGTCACTGATAAAGAACATTCCACTGCTTGCCCCAGGCACCATTTTGTAAACAACCCATTAGATTGTGCACAAGGCACCACTTAGCACACAGTCCTATGGGAATTGCCTGGAGGCTGGCTCAAGGCCGTCTGGCTTTTTTGCATTTTTTTCTGGCTAGGGGAGGCCCTGGCTGTAAAATGACTAAACCAGGCTTTTCAGCATGTTCAGGGGTAGGATATGATAAGTAGTCGTGGAATTTGGACTTAAAAGAAAATAAACGTTAATTAGCTCCAATGGACTCGCCAAAAGAGGCCACTCTCTCTACCGAGGGTTTTCCCGACCACTAGAGGGCGCTGTTTACTTTTCCGCACGCGAGTCCGGAAAATTAGGCGCTTACGTTACCACTGTTGGCTTGATTTGTTTTGGAGACTTTTCAAAACAAGAATAATTTCTGTAACAAAAGGAAAAATATTTACAAAGAGTTTTATCCCTCATTAAGACATCTGGTGTGCCATACTCCTGTAGGCTTAGGGCCTACCAGCAAAATTTTCTACGTGTTAAGTTTGAAAGACAGCAAGTGGACAGTGGCAAACGGTCAATTCACAGCAATTGTTGCGGGTATCGTAAAATGCTATTTTATTCTTTTCTAGTCTAGGAATCTTGAACTTATGCTAGTACATGTAATGGGAGAACAGTAAAGTCTTGTTGTGTCAAGGCTGTTTTGCAAACATTGCATTTCATCTGCACTTGAGCGTGGAAAAGAGAGGAAGTATTCTGATATGTGCTGGTGCGG